AATTGTGGTAGGAGATTGCTAGAAAATTTAGGCAATCTCTACCAGAATTTTGGGTGGTACAAAGGATATCATTTTGATAAGAAGTTCTTTAAGTTGAAGCACCTGGGGCCAAAAGGTTGTTTTTGAGGAGCCAAAGGGGACATCTCCCTCCAGATCCTTGCTTACTGACCCCGCCAGCTTCCTTTAAGGGTCTAAGTAGCTAGTCAAGAGCAGAAAAGTGATCCCAGAAGGAGGGCAAAGTCTTGCTTCAGATTAGGTAATTTCTGGCTTGCAGAGTCTTCTCCACCTCACAACGACTCTAGGACAGGAAGTCCTGAGGACCAAGCACACACAAATACCAGAACTCAATACCAGAACCTCTGTGAACTCCAAGTCAGGGAGCAGCCTGCTGCAGCTGTCTGATCCTATCCCTCCCTCAGTGTGACTGGCTCTCTTATCTGTTCTTTCTTCAGGATCATTCCCCACCTGGTGTCCTCTATTCCTTTACATACATCCTGTGGCAACTGGTTCCAGTTACTCATTTCAATGGTCCCTTGCCCATGCTAAAGATTCATCATCACTAGCCACCAACTCTGACCTCAGCTGTAACTTCTAGCCCACCAATTCAGAGGCTGTGGGATTCAGAGAGTAGTCTCAGCCAGGCTGGTCCAAGTACCACTGTGATATGCATTACCTTAGGTAGTTGCAACCTCAGTAAGCTTCCAAGGCTACCCCGAGACTTAAGAATTCTCTAGAAGGACTCACAGAACTCGTAAGAACCATTATCTTCATGACTACAATGTGTTACTATAACGCAAATCGAGAATCAGCAAAGGAAGAGGTGTACGGGAGAGGGGCTGAGAGGTGCAGAACTCGAAAGTGTTCTCTCCTCTTGGACCAGTATAGACTGTGTTTGTTTCCCCAGCAACAATGTGTGAAAAGTCCAGCTCATCAAGGTGTACAAAGGTTTTAGGAGAGCTTGGCATAGCTGATTGTCCACATGACTGATCTTAGTCCACAGCTAGGAAGACTTGGTTTAAGGCCAGAGAGGTGTAGCATCAGCAGTTCCGGCCACACCATGACCAGGTCATAGGACTCAGTCACTCTGAAGAATGCAGATGACAAGCTGTAGTCTTGGGGTTTTGTAGTTAAGGATAGGGAAGGGGGAAAAGAGCTTTGTAAAGGGCAGATTGGGGAAGTTGATGTGCTCCTTAACAAGATGTTTTTGAGACTGCACAATCTGTTGCCTCCTTTTGAAACCACCGGCTGTCTGGGGTCGGGGTCAGCTGACTTTCTTCTGAAATCTCCAAATAGCTGCTTCCTGGAACTTTGAGTTCAGTTAGGGTGGTGTGGGGTGCATGGCGACCATTGCTGCTTGGCAAAGTTACAGTATTTAATTCTGTAGACCACAACTCTCCAGCCCCCCTTTGCTTTGATTTTTAACGATTTTCACTATGTTATGGGAATTCTGTATTTCCTTTGGTGAAATTTGTGAAGGCTTTCAAGGATGAAAATGTATAAAAGGGCAGCCATGACCATTCACCCTCAGATCATGTCAGTCTCCTCCTTCCCTTTGCTGACTCCACACCTCCTCTCGGGGACCTGAACCCCGCTGGAGCTGGCCTGTGACATCAGGGCCTTGGCTTTTGGTTGTGGAGGTTCTTTCACGTGCTCTCTGATATGGTAGTCATGTGTCACCAGCATATCTAAATTTTAATTAATGAAAGTTAAATAAAATTGATACTTGCTTCTCAGTGGCACTAGCCATACTTCAGGCACTCTGCTCAATAGCCACAAATATCTGTGGTTTTCTTATTGAATGGTACAGGTCTATAGAACATTTCACAAGGGTTGAAAGTTCCTCAGATCAGTGATTCTCAACCTTCCTAATGCTGTGACCCTTTAATACAATTCCTATGTTGTGGTGACCCCAACCATAAAACTATCTTTGTTGTTACTTCATAACTGGAATTTTGCTACTGTTATGAATCATAATGTTTTGGGGTGATTTTTTTGGGGGGGGAGGAGATAGAGGTTTGCCAAAAGAGGTTGTGACCTACAGGTTGAGAACTAATGCCTTGAATGACGGGATCAGCCTGTGTAAACAGATGGGAAGAGGAAGGAAAGCTTGGAAGAGCAGAGAGAAGGAAATTTGGGCAGGTCATTTCAGCCGGTTCCCAGACTGCAGGAGGGACAGGTGAGAGCCCAGATGTCCCAGGGTGCTAGGGGTCATAGTAGGTCCTGCAGCAGTACCATTGAGGACAACTCCCCCTACCCGGGCCCGCCTGGCCAAGATCATTGGTTTTTCCAAGGATAACTTCATAGTACAAGTCTTCTGAGTTTGTCTTGAAACCTTTATATCTCTAGATATAATGATTAGATGTTTTGCTTTGGTTGAAAGTCACTGAATCCTAACATTGCTCTGCTTCTGACTACATTGTCCTCATAAACTGTGGCTCACAACAAAGCTGCCTGCTCACAAAAGAAAGAATATTTTTACTAGTAACCGGAATGACTTCTACAGCAAACATTTAGAATTCTAAGTGATTCCATTGTGTGGGATCATGACACAGCAACAGACTTGTATTTCACTGACTTTTCTTGAGAAAATGGAAAGAGGTAAACTGGAAACAGCAGTGGGAGCAGAAGATGGTACTAAGGAAATACTGAGAAGACAGAGGAATGAACTTGGTTATGGGGCATTTGAGTGGTGCTTTATTTCACGGAATATAAGACATAATCAGATATGATATGTGCTTTGGTTTTATGTACCGTTAAGAAAGAAAATAATGCTGCTAATTGTATGTGGCATGCCAGTGATTAATATTAAACTGTGAAAATTCTATTAGAATAATAAAAGAAATAGATGTTATCGAGAAGTGGATGGTTGGGTACATTTCACAGATACCAAAGAGTTCTGCACCATCTTCAAGGGTTCATGTTGGAAATGGGATGGGGGTAAGCTGGTGGAAAACACCCCAGACACTGAGGAGTGTCTACATGAGATAGAGGCCTGGGAGGAGGAAAAGGTCACTGGACTTGGGGAGTGTTATCTGCTGGGGATTTACAGGGTTGAAGTGGGGCACACTAGGTGCCCCCCCATCATCTCAGTACCAGTCTATTCTCACCACTTCAAATGGGCTTTCCTTCCCTGCTTGGGTGTGGGCAGGAGGAGAGAGGGAGGTGACCATGAATGTCTGTGACTTCCACAACGCTGGTGGGAAGGGTCCCTCTACTTAGACTAAACCCAGGGAAGGAATTCCACATGTCTTGTCTGGGCCATGTATGTGGAAGATGGTCAGAGCTCATGTTAGTTTATGGGTAGGAGTTAGAACCCTTTAAAACCATGTTTATTTGGCTTAACCTTTCTATAAACATCTGTGGAAGGAAGACCATGAATTCTAAAAGTGAGAAAAAAAATCATAATAGTAGAGAAAGTTCATTGTAAGTTTAGTTATGTGTAAACCACAGCCCAAAAGAACTGTTCTGCATAGAGGATGTGGGGGGGGAGCTGTGACAAGAAAATGGAGATGTCAAATAAAAAAGCTTTAAGTGCTGGTCTGGGGCAGGGTTGGTACACCACACAAGCCAGGCAGTGATGGCACATACCTTTAATCCCAACATTTGGGAAGCAGAGGCAGAGGCAGAGGCAGAGGCAGAGGCAGAGGCAGAGGCAGAGGCAGAGGCAGAGGCAGAGGCAGAGGCAGAGGCAGAGGCAGAGGCAGAGGCAGAGGCAGAGGCAGAGGCAGAGGCAGAGGCAGAGGCAGAGGCAGAGGCAGAGGCAGAGGCAGAGGCAGAGGCAGAGGCAGAAGATCTCTGTGAGGTCATAGGCCAGCCTGTTCTACAGAATGAGTACTGGGACAGTCACAGCTGTTACACAGAGAAACCCTGTCTTCAAAACAAAACAAAACAAAACAAAACAAAACAAAA